ACCCTCACAGGAAAGTCACAGACAAAGAAAGGAAAAAGTCACTTTCCATTATACAAATACATGTCTTATTGGCCTGGTTCCTATAGCAATGTGGGTACACACTGAAGGAAGCTTGCAGAGGCCTGTGCCCCTACCCTAACTTTTATCATTTTCTAACTGGTGCAGGGAACCACCTGCTGATGGTTGTAAGGTTATGGGAAGTCACTGGTGGTATTCATGTCAGTGTACTTTAGGTTGCTAAATCTCTGATTCCAGCTCCTATTCCTCTATTACGCAAGTCAGGTGTGGTCAGTTTCCTTTGGTTTTGATTCATTGGTTCTTATTTATGAAAAACTCCCTGGTGTTTTCTCCAAAAAAAGGGTAGAAATTCAATAAAATTTTAGCTATTTAATTTGTTAAGTGGCATGTGATGTCACAGCAAATTATATTATTGAATTCCTGAACTTCCTAGTTCCTTTTCTTTTCTTCAGATTATTTTATGTTAAGCCTGTACTCTGCGGAATAAAATTATTATGTATTTCACACTAGTAAGTGGGTATACTCGTACAAATACATATTATATGCTCTGTTAGACATACTATAAATTGTCTCCTAAGAAACCATAAGAAAAATGTTCTTGCTATTTACTATTCAAAAATAATTGACATAAATTAAAAGTGACTTTGAGTTTAAATTCATTTTTGAGTGGGTTTTTAAAAAATACCAAGAGATTTAATAATTTCTGCAAAAATTTTATTAATGGTGATTAGAAACTTCAGGCATTTTCCTTTTTTACAAATTCTCATTTTGTATTTCCATGTCTTTATATTCTGCCTGTGTGCTTTTTCTATGGTCTTTCTTAATACCCTAATGCGACATCTAATTTGAAACAGACTGCTGCTGTTTTCAACTATATTCAGTTTGTGGGTTAAATATATGAGATAGAAATAACTGTTCAAAATGTGAATTGCTAAGGCTAGACATTCCAACTAGGCTTTTGCACTCAGGAATGTGAGTGAGTCTGGGCAGAATTATAAGCCTGGGTTATTTTAAAGTAATAATAAATGGGTGGGAATCCCGAATTTAGAAATTCGTCTATTTAATTTATATGAAAGGTTGTGTTTGAAGAAGAGAGGACTTGGAGACTTTTGGATTAAATGAACCCATGCACAAATAGTTTCGGTGTATGATGTTAAGGCCAGACGCACCAAAAGTAAGTGATGCAGAAGGAAATGTGGCTCGACTTCCTCCATCCTTAACCAGCTGCTACCCTGGTGTCAGCCACTTTAGTTGGGAAGGAAACAGGAAATTAAAATGAATGAACGCACACATTTGTTGAAGTAGGACTCTGAAGCAGAAGTACATGCTGTGGTTGATAATGGCAAAACAATAGGTTTACAATTCCTGATCAGACAAACTCACATTTCTTATCTGAAAAGCCTACTTGGAATGTCTCCTACCAGTAACCCTGAAGGCACAATGATAGACATAGACAGAAGAGCGGTTTCCACCTGCTTTCACTATGGTGAAAGTTTCAGGTGACAGATTAATACCATTGGCCACCTTCATAATTTGGGTGTAGCACCACAAGAGATATGCCCTTCACAAATCTAAGTCTATCATTTAAGGTGAAAAAAATGGTCAAATAACAAAATTGAATTGGTGTGGTAACAAGAGGTCATGGAAGCACATTCAGTAGCATATGTGTACATTCTAAACAGTAGTAAAGACATGAATATATGGTGGAATAACCAAATAAACTACAGTGCAAAAAAATCTCTGAAGCCATTTCTTCCACTGCTTCAAACAACAAACTAGTTGTTAGGATACATGAAACAAATGGCAATGCTATAGTTACATGTTCTCTAACATCAGGGCAAACAAATATCCAAATGATGCTTCTCAAATCCAATTTATGTTGTAATACAACACCCAGAATAAAGACATACTGCAGTATGAAGCAAATCTGGGCCACTCGGGCTTATGTTATTCTACTTCAGAGAAACAAGAGAGTTTAAGGTCAAATATTTGGCCTATAAATCAGCCTATATTTCAAACTATATGCTGTGTGTCTTTTCAACCAAAGAGATTCGCCTTGCTAAATTTAGATTCCTGGGTAAGAAAAGGTAGATTGACTAACCCTGTCTCAGCTCTTCTCTTTTCCTCAGATGCAGAGAAATTAAATAACATGTCCAAGCTTATGCAGATGTGAGGATCTGACAGGAGAATTCAGAATATTTACTCCAAAATCTGTATTCTTTCTCCCATCTCACTTATTCCTAAAGTTGTGATTCAATCCCAATTCAGCACTGACCAAACGAATGTAAATCACATCCTCTATAGGGCTCCCCCATTAATCTCTCAACTCTCACTAGACTAAGGATGGGCCAAATTATTAAATTTACTTATGATTGGCCACAAAAGCCCTATGTTGGCATGTTGGCAGTCTGAAGTCTGGTTTTAAATTCTATGAATTTACTTATTCCTACAACTATAGCCCATTAAATATATTATGAGCCATAAAATCAAAGTGAACAAGCCATCACATCTACCCTCAAAGAGTTCACAGACTAAGACTTTAAAAAACTATTAAAATTAGTTACCCTAATATAAAAACTATTTACAGAAAAGGTAAGGATAAAATCCCAAATAAAGCTAATGCTTAATGTAAAGCAGAAAAAGAGTAGTCAGTGAAAGCCACTGGAAAGAAGTTTCCAGAAGAATGTAGGGGGAATGAGTCAGCTGTCACTCTTTCTGTTTCCTTTTCTCTATCTATAAAATAGAAGAATGTGAAAGTTCAGTGGATATGTCACATCCATGTGTTAATATAGACCCAGTGCCTTACAAAGTGATCAACACTGTATTTTTAGTTATTCTTGTTCTATAAAATAATGTCCACATAACAGATTATTATTCAATATTATTATTATACAATAATTGGGAAATTGTATTCAGCAAAATGCTTAGGCCCTTGCCACAAATTTTATGTTAGCAAACAAAACAATCAGCCTGTCAATATATTATTTTAAAAATTATATGTGTGTGTATAAATATAAAGTTAAGACTATTCCTAAGTGGCTGTCTGTATTTTTTTCTTAAATAGATCACAATTAATAGATTCTGAATTTTCAAGGAATTTTTTTCTATAGCTTTGAATTTCCCTTCCTAGAGTTGTAGACACCCAAATACTGTACTTATTACTTGGGATGTATATCTGGTCATAATACCTAATAATACCTCAATATCCCCTCATTTATCTTTCCACTGTTTCCAGATGGCCAATGGCTCTGTACAATGAAAGAGGGATATTGGAGATTTGAACTCTATTCCCATTTCTGTTAATACTTGCCTAAAATCCTGGACAATCCTTGATTCAGGCCCTATGTTTATACCATCAGCAATAGCTGAAAGCAAGGTGCTATGTTGGATATTAAGAGTTTAAAAACTGATAAGCGTGGTATTATCATTTATAAGTTGGCAGTGTAGCAGGGGAGAAAATATTAGCATGACAATAATACAACCTATATATTAAATGTGATAAACGCTATATACATAAAATGTTATTATAACTTTTTAGGAGAAATATGACTTTCAGTGGCAGATACCTGGAAAACTATGTTAGAGTACGAAATTGGAATGCTTCTCTTCATAGCCAAAATGCATTACTGAATACTTTTAGTGGTGATAGAGTTGTAGGTAGTGCTATAGAAAGTAGAATACGATTGTTATTTTTAACAACAATAACTCTAGAAAATTGTAGAAATTGCTATAATATTTACTTTTGTTCTTTAAGCTTTTGGGAAGCACTGAACAATGAATGTTAGATATGAAATAGTGTTGATTTCACAGGCATTTAAGTATGTAATCTCCTGTATACCTTAGTATTTCACATTTAACAGCCTATAATTTTTCACCAAAGTATGCATATTTTCAAATTACAGCTTGTAAAGTAACACTTCACCTATTTATGACAATATTAGGATACCCCAGCTAACTATACCCTAGACCAAATTTCTATGCCATTTTTGCCACTTGAAAATAAGGCAGCTACCTTTTCAGCCCTGAAAGCATACTTTCTTTTAAAGCTATAAAGCTTCTGTATTAATAGAATCCCAAACATTCCATAGTGCTGGCTCAACATGCTGAAATGTGAGTTCAGAAAGCCCATTTTGATCTAAACTGTTTACTCTGATTTTCAGGAGGGGATACTGAACAAGGGGCCACAGTTCAGTTCTTGAAACTGTGGTCCAGTAAAGGAACCACAGTGAGGTTAACTGACAACTTTCAGAATGCTAGGGAGACAGGGTAAAGGGTTGTTCCTGACATTTTTCACATGACTTTCTAAACAAAATGCTTCTATTAGAGTTTCTGAAAGGGGGTTTCAGCAGTTACAGAGTAATATTCATGGGTGAGGAGCCTGCTAGTAACATGGTGGAGAAATGCATTTGGGGAGAGGATCAAGAATGAGAAGAGAAAAGAAGAAAGTGGGACAGATAAGAAGGATATAGACCAGTGAAAAATGATGAATACCATTTTTTATCAAAGTTTCTTGCTTGAGAGTTTATACAAAAATCCAAAAGCACCCTGTTAATAAAATAGGCTTTTTCAGATAGAAAAGAAAAAATATGTCATTAACCAAAATATCGAATTTTATCTAAGAAAATAGCAGTCATAGTTCAATAGGAAAAGCTGCCACATTTAAAAAATAGGACAAGAGAACATTTGGGTTGCACAACACCAGTCTCTGGAAAAACTCTATTAACTATCCTTCAATAATACCTCCTTTTCATAGATTAGCAAATAGTCTTGAGTTAAAAATTTCATAATAATTTAATTGTGTTTTCTGGGGAGGTTTGTACTGAAATGACTTTCCTAAAAAAATAACTGATTCTTTGAATGGCAACAGGCATACGTACAGAAATCAGCTCTTCCCTTATGGAAACTGTCTATCTATCTCACTCACCACAAGAGAAGTTTCTTATTTTTATGTTTTATTTTTAATTAAAAAAAATTTTTTCCTGACTCCTCAGACACATGTTACCATCACTTAATGTCAGTAGCAGAACTGGACAAAGTTTTCGTCACTGAGGGGAGGTTTCCTTAGAGAAGATCCTGTACTTAATCCACTATAGATACCTGGCATTTACCATGATGTCCAGTACACATCACGGACGTGTGTCATTAAGTTGGACAAATGAAATTGAAGTGTCCATACTGGAGCAGAATTTTTTTCTATGCAACAGTCACCAATAATGAATGTGAAAATCAACACCTTATCTGAAATGCAGAGGAGTCACAGCTTAAATATAGCTCTTTGAGGCTTTTTCTGGGGAATGTCTTTCTTTTCAGTTATATCACAAGTCATGAACTTCAGCTTGAGAAAAATCACAATTGAAACATGTTCCCTGCTAATTCAACCATGGAAAGGAAACTTGGCAATGGAGTTTTAGAAAGCAAAGGCTCTTTTACCCACCTGATCAATATAGCATTATCAGTTGACAGACTTATTTCCACATGGTTATTAACTTACTTAAGCAAATGAAAATTTCATGAATACCAAGCAGTCATGGCAGATGTTAACAGTTTGACAAAGATATTTAAAATGTATTATGTACCAGTTTCTTATTTCTTATTACAAACTGTTTTCACTTTACTGACATTAACTGCAGGAATTGTCATGGTTTTTTCTCTTGGCTGTTTGAATTGGTATCCGCCACAAAATAGCTTATTACTTCCAGTTTTTGCCAACTTTGATAAGGTGAAAATATTTACTTGGCATAAGTGGGGTGGAACAGAATGAGTATCTTTATACTGTATTTGTCTAGAAATAGAATTGGTCAACCAGGCCAAAAATGAATTTAGAATCATATTATAAAGTGTTCTATATTAAATTATTAATAGTTAACCTTTATCTTGTGATCTCTGGTATAAGAAGTGGATATTATCTTTGTCTTTTAAAGAAAATGTAAGATACACGTTTAGTCAAGTCTAATCAAGACAAAGAACTATTATTTTCTAAATCATTTCACTTTTCCTTAGTTTCTTTCTTTATCTTTTCTTTCCTTTTTTTTTTTTTTTTNTTTTTTTGAGACAGGGTCTCACTCTGTCACCCAGACTGGAGTGCAGTGGTGTAATCTCGGCTCACTGCTGCCTCCACCTCCCAGGCTCAAATGATTCTCCTGCCTCAGCCTCCTGAGTAGGTAGGACTACAGGTGTGTGCCACTACCACCCAGCTAATTCCTTTTTTTCTTTTTCTTTAGTAGGGATGGGGTTTCACTATGTTGTCCAGGCTGGTCTCAAATGCCTGACCTCAAATGATCTACCCTCCTTGGCCTCCCAAAGTGCTGGGATCATAGGTGTGAAGCACTATGCCCAGCTCCCTGAGTTTCTTATGTTCGTGCACAATCTCTGAGACAGTCAAGGTTAAGGGTTGAAGATGGAGCAAAGGAATCAGGGTGTGAACACATTGGAACAAACATACAGTGAACACTTCTGAGCATCTAATGTGGATAATCACAGGGGACATAGCTTTTAATAAAGATCAACCCCACTGTCTACAGTTTAAAATGAAAAACAAACATTTTCTGTCAAATGTTCTAACTTCGGAATTTCATATTACTGCTTATAGACTGGTGTAATTAAAATCAAGGAGATCATAAGCCTTCAACATGGATATAACATCTCTACAATCGATAGCTCCAGTTACTAGCAATCCTTATCCAATAGAAAGGCTTCACGAACTAAAATTAAGGTTGTGGTCTTGGGTTCTTGAATTGAACAGAAATTGTACAAACAAATAATAGCAACACTATCTTCTTCAAGAAATTGAGAATTGAGTTAAATTTCTAGAAGTATATATTTCTATTTATTGAATGGAAAACAAACCAAACTAATAAGGTGTGTCCATTATTGTGTAAAAGAACAAGTAATCAAGTACTCCTAAAGGTAGCTCTGCTATAATCAGTATTTACATTTTTACATGTTTACTTCTAATGTTATAGCCATTTATTATGTAATTAGATACAATCTATAATGAGTTTGTTTTATATTTCCTAGCGAAAAAAAGCTCTTTATTATTTTCCTCATGATCTTTGCCTCCTGCGTTCACACCTTTGTATGATTTCCTCCCCTGCAGTGTGCACAGAAACTGGCTGCTTCTAATCCACTGAATCAGCAAAGCTTATGGAATGACGCTCTTGTGATTACCTCACAATATGGAAGACTCTGTCTTGATAGGAGACTCTCTCCAGAGATTCTCTTGCTTCCTTGATGAAATATGAGATTGTACAGAAAATGTTCATGTGGCAAGGAACTTACGTGGCTTCTAGGGACTTTGGGAGGCCTCCAGTTGCTAATGAGGTGGGTTGTAGCTAAGATTGCAGACTCACAACCAGGAAATGAATTCTGCAAGCAACATAAATGAGCTTGGAAGTCGGTTCTTCCCTTGAAACCTCCAAGCGAAATTCCAGACTGAAGTCTTGTGGAATCCTTTGAAGAAGACTCAGCTGAGCTGTGTCTGGGCTATTGACTCACAGACATTTTGAGATGATAAATGCATGTTGTTTTAAGCTGCTTAATTTGTAGAAATTTAATATGTATCTATAGATAACTAATTAACCAATTATTCTGCAATAACTTTCTTAAAGCCTAAGTAAGTAATTTCTACAGAGGAGGCAATAATTTGTTTTTACATTCAACAAATATTTAGCGACAATATTGTTCTAGTTACTAGGGACATGGTAATAAATACAAAAGACAAAATTCATAAGCCCTAATGGGAGACATGTTAACGATATTTAAAATCATAGAATAATTACATAATTACAAATGTGAATAATTACATAGTTACAAGTATTAAGTGAACAACAGATGATCAGCCTGCTTTGGGGGAATGAGGAAAAAGCTATCTCAGTGGTGTGCTGGTGGGTGTTTAACAATGGGCTCTTGGCAGCAGGAAGGGAAGTGAGTTCTCCTGTGTTGCATTCGCTTGTTTCTGTGACATAACTACCCCGCAATGGTCAATTTTAAGACACTAATATGATATAACTAATGTGATATCATTGAACGCAGAGTTGGAAAGAAAAGAACACAATCAACTTTTGCAACTTGGTGCAGACAGGCCCACATACCACTAGGCTTCTCTAAATATGCGACAGTGAAACTGAGAGCAGACAGATGACTCTAACTCAACTAATGACAATGGGAATGAAAAGCTTTCCAGTAGAGCAGGCAAAATATCATAGGTCCTGAACCAAGAAGAGTTTTGCTTGTTTGAAGAACCAAAAGAAGTAGAATGTGACTGAAATTTAACAGCTAAAGGAACAGAAATTCAAAGGGGAGAAGAGCAAATCAGGAAGATAGTCAGACCGCATTCTAAGCCCTAGGAATCCAAGAATAAACCATAGGTGCAAAGTTCCTTCCTTATGGTGCTCCCACAGTCCTGTATGTAATGCTACGAATTTTAGAGTTTGGCCTAATAGCAGAAGGAAACCACTGAATTATTACTGTCTAGAAAATAGTTTGTATTTTTTAAAAATGACTCTTTGGATAAATTGATTTTTAGAAGTATATGACTGTGGGGAAACCAGTTCAGAGAATAATATTCACCTGTGTATCAATTCTTTTATCTATAAAATAAAAATAATAGGCCGGGCGTGGTGGCTAACGCCTGTAATCCCAGCACTTCGGGAGGCCAATGTGGGCAGATCAGGAGGTCAAGAGATTGAGACCATCCTGGCCAACATGGTGAAAACCTCTCTCTACTAAAAATACAAAAAATTAGCTGGGCATGGTGGCATGCACCTGTAGTCCCAGCTACTTAGGAGGCTGAGGCAGGAGAATCGCTTGAACCTGGAAGTTGGAGGTTGCAGTGAGCTGAGATGGCACCAGTGAACTCCAGCCTGGCAAAAGAGTGAGACTCCATCTCAAAATAATAATAATACCACTACCTTCATCATGATTGTTTTGAGAATAATTTAATAAATACAAGCTGTCTAGAAAAGTGATTAGAACACAGAGTAGGTACTCAAGAAATTTTAAGAACTTTTTTATTTTCCTTCTATACTGCCTTCTTCTTTATTGTTAGTATATAAAGTACAGGGAGGAAGTTTGTTGCAGAGATGCAAATCTGAAAGTGGTCATCATATGCCTACTATGATTTCCAACATCATACGGTGTTTGAACCCCTAGTAGACAATAGTGTTAGGGAGTCAATGACATAAAAGAAGAGAAAGAGAAAGAGGACCCAGATTAAAGCCATGAAGAGCCCCAAAATTTAAAGTTTGACTATAAGTAAAGAAATCTCTTCCTTTGGCAGAAACTCATGTCATAAAGTCTGGGAATGAAAGGTTCTGTCTGCAGAACTATGTTGAGCTCACACCTGGATTATAGAACTCATTTCTAAGGTCGTCGTTATTAGAAGTATGTAGAAAAACTGGATAGAGTTCAGGGAAAAGTAATGAGAATGATTAAAGACTTGAGGTTGATGGATTTATGAGAAAAGAATAGAAACCAGAACGTGTTTCAACATAGGCTATGGGGAGATGGGTATAATTAACCTTCTACAGTTTAAAAAGAAAAGGGAAAAATACTTTCCTAAGATTGGAAAAAAAAAAGAAAAAAAAAATTAGCCTATTAGCCCAAACAGAAGAGGAGACCCTGAGATCAAAAACATTTATTTTGTGGAGTTTCATACAATGTTTCTGTGAGTAAATATCACCCACATATATAACGAAAAAAACTCTGGAAGCCTTTACTTCTAGATAAAATAAAATCTTCACCAGTGCAGAGATTTGGATCTTTTTTATTGATGCATCACCAATGTCTGGAGCAATGCTTGACACAGAGAAATTGCTTAATGAATATGTGCAAAACTTTTAAAAAAGAAAACCACATCCTTACGATTTAAACCTAAAGGCTACTAATAGTATCAGGAATAAGTCTTTGATTGATCTAAGGATAATAGACACTACCAAATGGAGGTAAATTCAACTGTGGACTATAATATACTCAACCTCTAACCCCCCACTTATTTTAGCAGACATTCTGAGAGAAAAAGAACTAGATTACATTTTAAAGAATTTTAAGTTCA